TTATATAATATTTAGATCTATTCTATTTAATATATTAGTTTAAATATGAAATTAACTATTACACTAAGTTAACCAAAACATTATACTAATTTAATCATTACGTATGTACAGTAGATAGTTTTCTTTTGGAGTTAAATTACTTGGTTTTTTTCCTTTGGAATATGTTAATGTTTGAGCATGATTTGAAATTGTCGTGCATGGAATTGGACAAAAGTTAAAGAAATTATATATGATAAATTAATTTTATTGCGTTTAAATTAAGAATTGAAAAAGATATTTAGATGAAGGGAAAGTAAAAGTGTTTTCAGTTAAATTTAGTTAAGAAAACGTAAATGTAATTGAAAAGACGCTACAAAAGTTATGTCTCTTAAGAAAAATAAAATGAATTTGATTAATTCGTTTATCGTTTGAACAATAATAGTTAACACTACTTTATGTCATTTCATTCTATCTGTTATGATGAATATAAAGGTACATTTACATGGGGATTCTCAAATGATATGCTTGTGGGTCTCATTCTTCTTTATTACAACTAATATTTTATTTTTAAAAGCTAATCTATTCATGATATGATTTGATTGTTTAAAAGGGTAGATAAATGTACATGCAAAATATCAATTTATTATTGGAAGAGAAACCCATATGAACCCACAGGTTAAAAGGGTCATAGTATTAGTCCTAATGTTATTTTTTTTTTCATAGTTTAGATGACTGAATATTAGCATGTGCATTTTACTCTGTGTCAGGAACTAGATAGTATCAGTTTTTATAAAAAACAAATTCTATCGATTTTAAAATTTTAGTCTTTTGTTATTTAGTGATTGACAATCACTTTTTGATTTTATCCTTATAAAATAGATATTAAATTTCAAATATGACAAATATTTGTATAAAAAGTTAATTATAATTTATAAGCACGAGAAGTGTTTGAGAATAAAATTTTTAATAACCTCATTGTTGATGTTATTTTTAATAAAAACTAGTTATAAATAAAATTGGGGGATACATGTCTATTAACTTATAACATATAAAAGGGTTAACTTTTTTTTTTCTAATTTCACTATATTAAAATGAACATTCTAGTAATCCTTGTCAAATGCTAATCAACACAAGATTTCAANTTTATTTATTTATTTATCTTAAAACTAAAATACTTGCTTTTGTACCTTTTTTTTCGCATATTTGAAAATGAACTTCATATGTCAATATAAAAGAGGAGCTTATATTTACCGTTTAATTTGTTTTTAATAACTTTTTTTATATCCTTGATAAAAATAATGTCCAAGTTTTTTCATTAAATATTCAGTTTGGCACATTGTAAATCTCCATAGTCAATGAGCTATTTCTCTCTCTTTCTCCATTGACCACATGAATATCCCTTAAATAAGCATTAAAAATTAAAAATCTTACTATATGATGCAGAAGAGTCAATTTACTTGTATTTCTTTTTTCAATTTCATTCCTATCCCAAAGCATCTCTCAAATTAATTAATTTTCTTTTGACATTAGGATATCTGTCCATGTGCTTTGAAAGATGTCAATATTCATTGGGCCAATGTTGTTGGACAAAAGCCCATTAACATGTCTTGTGAATGACTTTGTCTTTGACCTAGAAACGACACCATATTATGAGGAAGAGAAAGACCATTGACTTTATTAATTAAACATAAATAATGTAATTCAACATTAATCAAGTATGAATCAATATTCCTTACAACTAAAATACAATAAACAATTACATTAAACAAAAAAAGAAGCAAACAAGCCTCATCTTCCTTTGTACAAAATGGCCAAATTAATTTCACAGAGAGGTTTCCTTAAGGAGAGGGCTACCTTTTTTTACTACATATTTTTTTCCTAAAGAAGAGAAAGAAACAAAGCTTATTTGTGGGAAATCACACACTTACTAAATTTTCTTAAAGTTTAACTATGCATTAAGTTTTCTAGAGTTTAAAATAAATTCGGTTTTGGTATCTCAAATCATTTTAGCTATTTAAAAAAAAAGTATATTCCTATACATTAACTTCAAGAAATTAAAATGAATATTTTTTTAGAATTTGAAAAACCAAAACCGAATTCACCCGAAACTTTAGTGACTGAAAACATAGTTAAACTGGTATTGGGACTGTACTATGTTGTAAGTTATGAGCATGATCTCTTTATGTTTTGGATTGATGAGAAAGAAACAAAACAACCTCAAAATGGTTGTGATCAAAGTGAGTTTCTTGATTATTAGAAGTGTGATATGCACCTCCTGTGACGTGCTGCCACAGTTTTCCTCTTCTGTTTTGTTTCTTCTTTCCAACTCTTGGCAATGTCATGAGCCACATTAATTGCATCCAAAGATGCACCAGAAAGGCCTCTCCTTGTGAATCCAACTGCATAAAGACCACCTTTTCCCTTCCATCCATTTGGAAAAGGGTTTCTTGGAATTCCATCATTGGAAAAGAACTCATTTTCCTGATCAACCACCACACATAACATTGCATTTTAGATAACTTACACTAAGTCAAAAACTCATGCAAGTCACTGCATTTAAGTTATTTGTCCCTAGAAGAGAAACATGATAATGTGTACTAAGCAACCAAGTACCTACACAGATGCCTACACATTTGGAGCATTTTCAGAATTCATTGAAATTAATTCTCCCAACACACAGACACACACCTTCCCTGGTCTTTCAATAGGGCCAGAAGGCTCTGTGGGGGGCTCAGTCTTAAGGGTACACAACAACTAAGATAAACAACAGAAGAAAACTTCTACCTTTACTTTAAAAATTACTATGTAGAGTTATATTCAATCATATTATAGATTTATAACTAAATAATAATATAAAACTGTTTTTCACTCTGATATAAGATAACTGAACTAAAAAGAAAGTGTGAATAGTGGGAGAAACATGTGTTTNTTTGTCCCTAGAAGAGAAACATGATAATGTGTACTAAGCAACCAAGTACCTACACAGATGCCTACACATTTGGAGCATTTTCAGAATTCATTGAAATTAATTCTCCCAACACACAGACACACACCTTCCCTGGTCTTTCAATAGGGCCAGAAGGCTCTGTGGGGGGCTCAGTCTTAAGGGTACACAACAACTAAGATAAACAACAGAAGAAAACTTCTACCTTTACTTTAAAAATTACTATGTAGAGTTATATTCAATCATATTATAGATTTATAACTAAATAATAATATAAAACTGTTTTTCACTCTGATATAAGATAACTGAACTAAAAAGAAAGTGTGAATAGTGGGAGAAACATGTGTTTTACTTTTACAAAGAAAAGAAAAACAAAAACCAGCTGCCAAAACTAGCAATCTAACATGGTTTTTGGTTTTATTGAGAAGGAGAGAGAAAGTTCAGGGCTAAACCCAATCCATAACTGTGAGCAAGAATCCAATGCAGGAGAAAGTGTATAGAATAAATATGAGTTGAATAAAGAAGGACTAACCTTCAACCATGATGGTACATTGCTGTGATAACCAGTGGCAAGAACCACAGAATCAATCTGAAGAACTTGGCCATCAACAAGTTCCACTTTCCCTGGCAAAAACCTTCTGATTCCAGGAACCACTTTGATTTTGCCAGATCTAATTTTCTCAAGGGCCCCAATGTCCAACACAGGGGTCTTCCCTGCAGTGTGCTTGAATTCCAAAGGACCCACAGAAGGCCTTTTCAGACCATATTTTTCAACATTCCCCAAAATCAAACGTGCCAGAATCAGCAGTATCTTATCAACCATCCACAGAGGTAACCTCTTCATCAACATCACAGCAACTTCAAAAGTAGATTTCCCAAAAACCTCTCTTGGTAAAACATGAACCTGATATATCACGAAACAAAACAAAACTATCAGATAAAATAGAAAGAACAAAATTAGAGTTTCACTTCAAGAGCATGTAACAAAAGTTTTCTATAGTGAAAATCTAATTCTGAATGAAAAGCAATAACTTAAAACACATACTGAACTACTCTATCTGAGTTATGTTCATATAAAAATGCTGAGAGTGTTTAGCACTCACCGAGCTTCTAACCACCATTGAAGGTTTTGCATTGTGGTTACATAGATCAAGCGAGACCTCCATGCCTGAATTCCCACACCCAACAACAAGCACTTTCTGTCCAGCAAAACCCTCTCCAGATTTATACTCACAAGCATGCATGACGCGGCCACCAAAATCTCCCAACCCTTCAAACTCAGGCACCACTTTCTCTGAGTTTTCGCCGGTGGCAACCACAAGCCACCTGCAAATGTACTCGACCTCACACTCAGCAGCTGAGGAGGGGCCTTTCCTCCTGCTGATGGTCTTGACCCTCCAAAGGCCAAAGGTCTCATCGTACTTTGCAGACTGCACTGTTTCATTGAACTGTGGGGCTATGTTGAAGTGGTTGGCATAGGACTCAAGGTAGCTTATGAACTGAAACTTTGTGGGGTACTCAGGGAAGTCCTCAGGGAAAGGGAAGTTTGGAAGCTGGCAGAACTGTTTGGGGAGGTGAAGCTTGAGGCGATCGTAGGTGCGGTTTTGCCAGAGAGAGGCAATGCAGTTTGCTCTCTCAAGGATTATGAATGGAACACCTTGGTCTTTGAGGCCTGCAGCCACTGCAAGACCCGAAGGACCAGCACCTACTATCACAGGTCCGTTCACCCAAATGCAACGCCTTGAGAAGAGATCCTCAGGGTCGAAGTTCTGAACCATTGGGGCCATGTTGAGACAAATGTCATGCATTTTTTGTTGGCTTGAGACAACCTTTGATTTGTGTGAAACAGTGTTCTTTAGAGGTGAAGAGTATGTTGAGTGGATTGATGGTGACAGAGGGTGATGAAATTGACTTTTGATGAAGGATATGTGTGAAGAGAAAGATAGAGAGAAAAGAGATTTATAGTTGAATTGAGGAGTGAAGAGGGTGAAGGGAACCATGAAGGGTATAAATAGGGAAAGGGTGGAGAGTTCAGAGCAGCATGTGTATGGAGATATCTAATCATTGAGGAATCAGATTAGACTCTACACAATAAACTACTTTCATAATAATAATAATACTTTATAATTGCATCCATATTTTATTTACCGCTTAATATAAAATGTAT